ACCAGGCGCCCCCAACACCATTTATTGAAGAGACTGTCCTCTACCCATTGTATGTTCTTGGCTCCTTTGTTGTAAATTAATTGGCCATTTGTGCATGGGTTTATTTCTGGCCTCTCTATTCTGTTTCATTGATCTGTGTGTCTGTTAGGTGCTGATACCATACCGTTTTGAATACTGCACCTTGTAATATACTTTCTCAGGAAGCGTGACGCCTCAGCTTTGTTCTTTCTTGAGACTGCCTTGACTATATAAGGGCTTCTGTGGTTTCCTACAAATTTTAAGACTTGGGGCGCCTGGGTGGCTCAGTGGGTTAAATAAATCCTCTGCCTTCAGCTCAGGTCATGATCCCAGGGTCCTGGGATCAAGCCCTGCATTGGGCTCTCTGCTCAGCAGGGAGCCTGCTTCCTCCTCTCTCTCTCTGCCTACTTCTCTGCCTGCTTGTGATTTCCGTCTGTCAAATAAATAAAATCTTTAAAAAAATTTTTTTAAGACTTTTTTTTTCTATTTCTGTGAAGTGCCATTGGAATTTTGGTAGAATTGTAGATTGTTTGGGGGTAGTATGGACATTTTAACAATATTCTTCCCATCCATGAGCACTAAGTATCTGCATTTATGTGTCTTCAATTTTTTTTTATCAATGTCTTGTAGTTTTTAGCATACAGGTCTTTCAGCTCCTTGGTTAAAATTATTCCTAAGTGGTGTTTTTGATGCAATTGTAAATGAGATTGCTTTCTCAATTTATTAGTTTGTGTAATGCAACATTTTTGTGTATTTTGTATCCTTCAACTTTACTAATCCTCCTTTCCAATTTGTTTGACTTTTTTTCTTATCTAATTGTTCTGGCCCAGGTCAATCACAAAGCTCCTGTGAAAGCTGGGATTCAAACCGTACTTTTTTTTTTTTTTTTTAAAGATTTTATTTTTCTGACACATAGAGAGAGAAATCACAAGCAGGCAGAAAGGCAGGCAGAGAGAGAGAGGAGGAAACAGGCTCCCCGCTCAGCAGAGAGCCCGACGTGGGGCTCGATCCCAGAACCCTGAGATCATGACCCGAGCCGAAGGCAGAGGCTTTAACCCACTGAGCCACCCAGGCGCCCCTCAAACCGTACTTTTAAGTCCCACTTCTTCCCAGACCCTACACTCCGTATGGAAAGAGATAGTTCGTCCGCTTTGCTGTTTCTGATACTGGTAGATTTGGGGCGGGGTGGGATCTCTTCTGGGCTGGGAGCCAGTCCTGCAATGCTTCCCTCTCCCCAGCAGGATCACACGAGCTCCTACCCACACTGGACACATGCGTCATCTCCTTTAACTCTTTCAGCATTTGCTGGGGCCCACACTGGACTAAGCGCTATAGGGTGTTGGGAGCTCACCAATGAACAGACACCTGGACCCACCCTTTGGGAGCCTGTGTATACCCCAACACCCAGTCCCCTTGTCTGATCTAACAATTCCAGTCCACGGGCTTTACAACTCAGGAGGCAAAAGGTACTGGAGAGAGGCGGCAAAAATATGGAGGACTCCTCTGGGAAAGGCTGACCTTCCAACCAAAGACAAAGACACACAGACTTTAGGCCTACACTAAGCCCCTAAATTCCTGGGAACACGGAGTTGTCTACTTGGTTGCCAATTGCTCCTTTCAGCTTCACACCTACAGGGGGTCTGCATGGGACCCACCCTGGCTGAATGTCACAAGTGGATTTGATAACCAGCTCAAGGGGTGAGGCCATGCGGCTCTTTCAGTACTTCTGATCACAGTGAGGAACAGGACTCGCTCGATGCGTGTGTCTTCAACCTTTCCCTGAGGTTGGTCAGTATCTCCGTTGAACAGAGACATCGGGATTTAGGCCTTTGGTAGGTAACACTGTAAGATTATAATTTAGTATCTGCCATATGTTTTCGTTAATTTCTTTTTCATATTCACTAACTCACTGTATTCAAGTTTTACGTACGGCTAATGAGAGCAGCATTTAGTAATGTCTGGTAGGAGGCTGTTAGGATCAAATACAGGACCCTGAGTTTGAGCAGTAAGGCCGCAGGGTTGGGAGTTAGAGCTTGAATCATGGTTGTGCCACAGCTTTGGAAAAACCAACTTTTTGAACATCACTTTTCCCCTATACAACATAGAGTTTGACTCGCAAGATGCACCTGTCCCAAAAATAAGGGTAGAAAATCCACTGGGGGCGCCTGGGTGGCTCAGTGGGTTAAAGCCTCTGCCTTTGGCTTGGTCATGATCCTAGGGTCCTGGGATCGAGCCCCGAGTCAGGCTCTCTGCTCGGCAGGGACCCTGCATCCCTCCCCCCAACCCCGCCTGCCTCTCTGCCTACTAGTGATCTCTGTCGAATAAATAAAAATCTAAGAATAAATAAATAAATTAAAAAAAAAAAAAAAACGCTGTGTCCAGCATACCCATAATATGAACCGAAGGTCTAAATACCAAAACTGAACAGCAAAACGCATGAACTCAAACACCACAACAAAGATGATTGTTTCATGGGGTTGCTTTGATTTTTTTGGTGTTTGGGGGTTTGTTTTTTGTAAGCTCTATGCCCAACATGGGGCTTGAACTCATGACCCCAAGATCAAGAGTCACGTGCTCTTCCAACTGAGCCAGCCAGGCAACCTTTCATGTCCCGGTTTTATTAACTAGCCACAGGCCACCTAGGAAACAGAGGTACCCTCATTCCTCTGTTTTTAAAGTAGAGTTATCACAACCTAAGTACTAGCTTTGTACACTAGCCTATTCCATCCCACAGGATTCTGGGTTTCCAGGGTTATTGAAATATAAAGAGAATCTGTGATTCTATAGCTAATTCCAGATCAGAAAATGTTTTTCCCTCCCAAATCACTTCAACATCACTGTTGTATGTGAGGGAAAAGGTTGTTTTTACAAAAAGATTCCCTGTAAAATCTGTACCACTGACAGTCCCCTGGTTTGGTACGGTTTATTGTAAAACGTTACCATTTGGGGTAAGCTGGGTGAAGGGTACAAAGAATGTCTTTGTGCTATTTTTCCTCTTTCCTCCGAAACTGTGTTTTTTTGTTTTGTTTTGTTTTGTTTTTTAATTTGACAGACAGAAATCACAAGCAGGCAGAGAGGCAGGCAGAGAGAGAAAGAAAGAGGAGGAAGCAGGCTCCCCGCCGAGCAGAGAACCCGACACAGGGCTCGATCCCAGGACCCTGGGATCATGACCAGAGCTGAAGGCAGAGGATTTAACCCATTGAGCCACCCAGGCGCCCCTGAAACTGTTTTTTTAGAGAGAGAAAGGGAAAGCAGAGAGGGAGTGAGAGAGAGAAGCAGACTCCCTGCTGAGCAGAGTTCCACTCAGGGCTTGATCCCCGGACCCTGAGATTATGACCACAGCGGAAGGCAGACGCTGGACTGGCCACCCAGGTGCCCCCCAGAAACTGTTTCTTAGCTTTATTTCAGAATGATTAAAACTACTACTCATGAAAATGAGGATAAGCTTTTCAACTCCAAATTTAAAATGAAAATCAGAATGGTCGTAGGACGCCTTGGGAGTCACCTGACAAATGGGATTAGCCTTGGTCGAGAAACTGTGAGGCTCAGTGAGGAAGGCTCATGTAGACTCACAAATAACTCGACAATGATAAACATCACATGGTCTTATCGCTTTGCTCTCCCCCAACTCCTAAACCAGCCCAGACGGAGACCTAAACCAAGCTAACTCTGAATTAGCTTCGGCTAACAGGAACGAGAGGAGAGTGGCCAAAAAGGCTGTGAAAACCCAAGGAAAAAATATTCTGCACATACTTTATTTAAGTCACTCTGCATCTGAGGCTCGCTCGCACCCACTGCACCATCCGCGGCAGGCGGTCCGCCACAGCTTGGGCCCGGTCTGCACCCAGGCCTGGGTCTCATCTGGGGACCTGCGACCGCACCAGGGAGTCGGCCTGACTCAGGGCGAGTTTGTCTTTCTTCTCCTTCTGCAAGACCTGCTCCTCCCACAGCGCCTGGTCCACCTGATCGTCGGTGAGCACGACAGGCTTGTACTTCTCGTCAAAAAGCCGCTCGTTGGTCTCGGAATGCAGCTGATGCGGCCCGACGACGCGCAGATGAGCCGGCAGGTGCTGGAACTCCTCGTCGTTGATGTCGCAGTCGCGCATCCGGGCGGCCAGCACCCACCAGCGGCCCACGAAGCCCAAGTCCAGGATTCGGTCCGGGAAGTCGGTCCAGCGGGGCTGCAGGTAGCGGCAGCGGGCCTGGTAGAGGCTGGCCTCGGCGTCCACGGGCGCCTCGTACACCATCGCGCAGAGGCCCAGGTTCACGTGGCGGAGGCGGCCGCGACCCCGCAGCCACAGCAGTCGCTGCACGTAGTCCTCGGAAGCGCGGTTGCGCGTGGCTGGGGCCAGCAGCAGAAGGGTCCCCGACGCATCCAGCAGCGCCTCCTCGAAGGCCGCCTCGCTCGGCGCCAGCGCACAGCAGGCCGCCGCGCCGCCCAGCAGCCCCGTATACACGGCCGCCCGCCAGGGCCGAGCCCGCGCCGCCGCCGCCGCGTCCCGGCAGGCCTCGGCGTAGTCCCGGAGCAGCACGCGGGCCCAGGAGCCTGAGGAGAGAGAAGCAGAACAAACAGGTGAGAGCAGGCCGCTGTGGCCACCCCCCCGCCGCCTCCCGCCGCTACTCACCCAACCGCGTCCACACGCCTGGCTTCGCGGCCGCTGGGCCACCAGACTCTTCTCGGTTTCGGGACCAAAACCTCTTCAGAGCGGCCGTCGCCATTCTCTTCCGGCTTGGCGTCCCTTTTCCGAAGAGAAACACCGTGAGTGCGAAGAAAAAGGCCCGGGGGCCTCCTGCGCAAGCCTGAGCAATGCCGGAAGTGGTTTCCCATCGGAAGAGGATAGAAAAGGGACCGGTGCCGGATGTTGCTGTCCGGGCTGAGCGGGGTCGGCTGTGGCGTGGAGGCGGGCCGCGCAGGCGCAGAGAGCTTGGGCCACGCCGACTGAGGCAGCGTCAGGTGAGGAGGGCGGGGTGCACCTGTGGGGCGGGGACGGCGAGTTTCACCCTCCGGCTCCGTGACTTAGCGGCCAAGCTGGGCTCGGGGCTGAGAGAGAGGCCCCGGGGGGCACCGAATAGGGTTGGGGGCGGGTGTCATTGGCCTCTGTCCTCAGAGCGGGATGCGGTGACGCCCCTGAGCGACCATGGCAGCGGCCGACGAGCTGGCCTTCCACGGTGAGTGCGGCGGCGACCCGGCCGGAACCTCCCACCCAGGTTCCAGCTGACCGCCAGCATGATTCCCCGTCAGCTGTGAGCCCTAACCCCGACCCAGGCAAGATGCCCATCCCGGCCTCGAACCCCACTCCCGGCAGAGCCTCTGTCCCAGAGTTGACCCCATCCCAGAACCAGCCTTAATCGCAGGCCCGGGCTAGGAGTGGGGGAACACGCCTTCCAGATGCTCATAATTTAGGAATCAGGGCCCTTCGCTGGCCCCAGTTGGAGTCTTGGCCCCCAGATGAGCCATGGACCAAACCAAATTGTCTTGACTCCCAAAACACGCCTGTATCCCATATTCCTTCTTGGTAGAGTTCGAGGAAGCTTCTGATCTGCTGGCCGAGACCCCAGATGCGGCCACCACCAGTGGAAGCAATCAGCTGACCCCACAGGGGCACGTGGCCGTGGCAGTGGACTCGGGTGGCAGTTATGGAGCTGAGGAGGAAGTGGAGGAGAGTGACAGGACTGCGGTGAGTCCCTGCAGGGCCCTGCCTGCCTCCCGCCTTGCCCCCAGCCTCTGCCCAGACTGTACGGGCGGCTACTGAAAGCCCATGCCGTTCAGCTCCTGCAGGAGGAGAAGCAGCAGCCCGGATTCTGGACGTTTGGCTACTATCAGAGTTTCTTTGACGTGGACACATCCCAGGTCAGGCCCGGGAAGCTGGTGGGATGGGGCTTGCAGTCACATGGGGCTTGAGCCACCATCACTGAGCCCTTCCTGGACACGGGAGTGCTGGGGATGCGCAGGTGGGAGAACAACGAGTTCCCCCCCCAGGCTGGCTGGATTAACTGATTATGGTGTGACCGGGGCTTGTGGGGAACACAGATGCATGTGCTCAGGCAGGTTAGAGAAGGGCCTCCTGGAGGAGGTGAGCAGTGTGCTGAGAGGGAAAGGAGAAGGAAGCCTCAGCTGGGCAGACTGAAGGAAAGCACGTGTTACAGGCACAGGGAACAGCAGATACAGAGGACCGGAGGTGAGAGAAGGCATGAAGTGTCACAGGAGCCCGCTGTCACTTGGTCTGGTTGGAGAGTGTGAAGTGGGGGACACGTAGGCGGAAGCCTAGAGCACAGAGGCCTCGTATGCTGTGTCAAGGAGTTTGGGTTTTATCCTGAGGGTGCTGGGAAGCCATCAACGGGTTTAGAGCAGGAGAGGAATGAGTGGAAGTAGCAGACATGGTGCAAGGACGGTGGGTCAGAGTCCCCAGGCCAGGAAGGGAAATAATAAACTTGGGGCGCGGAACAGGGGACATAGTGGAGAGAGATGTAGGCAGAAGGAGACCAAGGACTTGACTGTCCCCTACCTCACAGTCCAGACACGTCACAGCATGACAGGCTGTTCAGGGCAGCCAAGCCAAGGGAAGGGGAAGCAAAGGGAAAGATGACTGGCCCAGAAGATTCCTTCAGTTGGCAGCACACTGGGATGTTGAGACCGGCAGGGGGAACGGCTCCAGCCCGTCAAGAATCCAGCGGGAACATCTGAGTCCTTGCAGGCAGGGGAGATGGGAGGTCAGCAAGGAGGGAGCCTCTGAGGGCAGGGCAGGAGCTCGGCCCTCTCCTCTGTGGGGGCTAAAGGGCCCCGTGCAAGGCTTCCACTCTGAGCCCCACCTTGTCTCCAGGTCCTGGACCGAATCCGAGGCTCGCTGCTGCCCCGGCCTGGCCACAACTTTGTGCGGCACCATCTGCGGAATGGGCCGGACCTGTATGGTGAGTGGTGGTGTGCATTCAGCTGGAGAACTCACTCGGCACACGTGGACCGGGTGCCGGCCCATGGATTCCAGCTGAGAAGCAAGCAGGGGGCACGCCCAGAGAGCAAGGGGCACACGTTCTGTCTGGGGAGACGGTTATGTACAAGGCTTCCAAGGGCAGCAGGGCTCAGAAGAGCAAGCAGTTCAGAGCGTGTGAGTTGCCGTTTCGCATGGGTTGGACAGGGAAGACCCCTGTGAGAAAGATGAGAGAAGGATGAGGCCTTGTTGGTGTTAAGGGATGGTGCTGAGGAGATTTAGGGGAAGAACATTCCAGAAGGGGACACGGGTCCAGTGGTGGGGCAGTATTGTCCTTGGCATAGTGAGCTGCATGAGGTCACAGAGGTGACAGGAGGAGACTGCGCTTGCCGTACAGGTTTCCTTGAGAAGGAATCTCAGTTAAGGGCTCTGAGGCTTCCTCCGGCCATGGGGGCGGGGGGCGCGGGGCGGGAGCAGTGACTGCCATTTTCCATGTGTGGGATGGTGGGACCCAGCCCAGGTGGAGAACAGTGGTTAGACTGTGGACTAGATCTCAAAGTTGGAGCCGACAGGATGTCCTGACATGCCAGAGGGGGGTGGGAGGAGAGAGAGGCGAGGATGGCTCTGGGGTTTTCGTCGGGACTACCCGAAGGATGGACCTGTCTTTGACTGACTGGAAAGGCTGGGCAGGTTGGAGGGGAGAGCACAGGGGTGGGAGGCTGGAACTGGAGAGGCCTAGACGTGCCCATGGAAATGTTGACTATAAGCCTGTGGTTCAGGGCACAGACCGGACTTGAGATATTTGGGAGACATTAGGCTCGATGTGACATAAGGGCCGGAGGCTGGGCAGGATCGTGCAGGGGGTGAACACGGAGAGGAGGGGTAAGGACTGTGTCCTGAAGGTCCCCATTATTAAAGGGGCCAGGGACTTACAGATGTTGAGGAATTGCCAGGGGAGTGATGTGGCAGAAGCCAGGAGCATGAAGTCCTAGAAAGCACATGGGGAGTGTTTCCAGAAGAGGGAGATCAGCTACATACAGCAAAAGCTATCGACAAGTCAGGGAAGCTGAGGGACTGAGAGCCAGCACCGGCTTCAGCCACCCCAGGTCGTCATCACCGGTGATGTCGGGGGGAGTCAGGTCAGGGTGGAGGTAGCTCGGACCTTAGAAAGAGGCTTGGGTCCCGGCACAGTTGAGATGGGACAAGTCACCTGTCCCGGGAGTCCTGGGTTCCTCACCATACCCGACCCGCAGGCCCCTTCTGGATCTGCGCCACGCTGGCTTTCGTCTTGGCCATCACTGGCAACCTGACCCTGGTGCTGGCCCAGAGGAGAGACCCCTCTATCCATTACAGCCCCCAGTTCCACAAGGGTAAGTGAAGTGGGCGAGGCCCCGGTCCTGCCTGAGCTGGGAGTGCCGCGGAGCCCCAAGGGTGACGGCCTGCCTTATCCCCACCCCCCAGTGACCGTGGCCGGCGTCACCATCTACTGCTACGTTTGGCTGGTGCCGCTGGCGCTGTGGGCCTTCCTACGGTGGCGGAAGGGGGTCCGCGAGCGCATGGGGCCTTACACCTTCCTGGAAACCGTGTGCGTCTACGGCTACTCCCTCTTTGTCTTCATCCCCACCGTGGTAAGTGCGGCCCCAGGCTGCGGGGGGGGGGGGCGGCGGCGACAGGTGCCTGGTGGAAGGCCTGGCAACCAGCTGCCCATGTCACCCCCAGATCCTGTGGCTCATCCCTGTGCCATGGCTGCAGTGGCTCTTCGGGGGGCTGGCCCTGGCCCTGTCAGCCGCTAGCCTGGTGTTCACTCTCTGGCCTGTCGTCCGAGAGGACACCAGGTTGGTGGCTGCGGTGCTGCTCTCGACTGTCGTGCTGCTCCACGCCCTCCTGGCCGTGGGCTGTAAGGTACAGGCGATCAGGGCTGGGCCTTGGGCTGGGGGGGGGGTGTCACCGACTGTCCCCCAACACTGACCCCAAGGGCTTTGGCACAGTTTTACTTCTTCCAGCCGCTGCCTCTGGCGCACCCAGCCCCCCCAACGCAGGCTGCATCTCTGTCCCCAGACCTCCCGCCGCCGCCTACAGCTAGAGCCCACACCACCTAGGAATGCCCAGCCCAAAGGTGAGGCCGGTTTCCCGCGGCCCCTGGGGGCTTCTCCCGCCCTTCCTCCCCGAGGCCAGGAGTCACAGCTCCGCTCCCAGGCGTCTCTCTTTCAGGCCCAGCATGAGGGGACACCACTGCCCGCCCTGCCCCTCAGATGATGACCGAAGTCTCCCCTGACACCTTGAGATCACTCTGCTGCTTTCCAGACTTTTCTTACAAAGCAAACACTTTTATTTTCTATGCAAAGGTGATTCCGAGAATTTGTAGAAAGGTGGGAAAAGGGCAGCTAAGCAGAGAGCTTCCGGGGGGGGGCTAGTGCCCCCGGGCTCCCCGCCAGATCTTCTGCTTTCCTTGATGGGACACATGGGAGAGCAGACAGGGCCACCCCGGCCTCAACTGTGCCTGCCCTTCCTGGGTGCCCAGGGAGCGGGTCCCAGGGCCGAGCCTGAGCTCCACCACGGCCGTGTTCGGGGGGGGGGGGGTCAGCAACGGGGGAGCAGAAGTAGAAGAAAACTGCCTGTGCTGACACATACATTTCCTTGTTTATTTGTTTTGTTGGGGCAGGGGGGCAGAGGTCCCTGCAAGGCCCCTTCCCGGCTGGGGAGGGACCAGAATGCCATCATAGTAATAGGGACTGGAGCGTCTACAAATATCGAGGGAAGTAAACAGGCCTAATGTGAGCTACGAGGGAAAAGGTTGCCTTCCACGATCGATTCTTGAGGTTTCCCATGTCGGCCCCAAGCGGCTGACAGTGACCCTTCCCTCCAGGCCCGGGGCCCATGGGACCACCTGTTCTAACTCTTGGCAGGGGTGGGGGAGGGGACCTGCAGGGGCTCAGGGACAGGACAGCAGCAAGAGGCAGGGGCCGAGGACGGAGGGCCTTCCCGACAGCCGGGGTGGGTTGTACATTCAAGTGTGAGGTGAACCCTTTGGTGGGAGGGGGGGCCTCGGGTCTCCAGAGGCCTGGCCCCACCCCTGTCCCGAAGACTCGGCAGGGCTGCCCCTCACCACTGAACCTCTGAGTGGGGGGAGAGGGGCTGCTGGCTCGGCCCGGCCGGCCTGGTTTCTCAGAGGGTCTGTGGATTGACACTGGTTCTTCTCGTAAAAAAATAAAATTAAAAAAAGCAGCATGTCACGCCCATTGTGACCAAGGCCTGGTAGTTGAAGGGGAGGCCCCGCCCAGTCAGGACCGCCTTCCCACTGGACACAGGCAAGGGGGGGGCAGGCGCCAGGGGACCGGGTGGGGTGGCAGCTGCTCCCCGCGCGCCCCCCCCACACCGGGCCTGCAGCTGTTAGCCCCGGACACGCCTGTTACAGATGTCAAACCCAGGTCAGGGTGGAGGGCAGGAGGGGGAAACAGGGCTCCCACGACATGATCTTGTGTAAAATATGGCAGCGACACACGCTCAGGGCCAAGATGTGGGTGGGCGGTGGAAAGGGGACGGCGGCGGCGACGTGTAGAAAAGTGTCCGAGTTCCCAGAGCAGAGGGCTGGGGCCGGGTGCTGGGGCTTCCCCCGTGTGGGGGTGAGAGCCGCCCAGGCGGGGAGGGGGTGGGCAGGGTGTTCATTTGGTTTCCTGGTGCTGTCAGTCTGTTCCACGCCGGAGGGGCCTAGCTCCCGTAGTGCATGGTGTTGGTCGGGATGGACATGGGGGAGGCCATGGAGATGGCGGGGCCGCCCATGGTGAACTGGCTGTTGACCGCGTAGTGGGCGCTGGAGCCGCCGCCGCTGCTGCCCTGGGCGGCGGGGGGCCGGGGGGGGGGGGGGGGGGGGGGGGGGGGGGGGGCCCGCCCCCCCCCCCCCCCCCCCCCGCCCGCCCAGACCCGCGGCAGAGTCAGACAGAAACAGAGAGCAGGCGAGAGGGCAGGCGGGCGGCCCGGGGTCCGCACACTCACACCCGCGGGGCCCCGCTCCCGCCGCCCACCATTACCTTGGACAATCCCCGTGCTCATTATGGAGCCCATCCGGGAGTGGGTGTGATTGACAATCCCCGTGTTGGCTGCGCAGCGAGAGGGAGGGAGGAAGGAAGGGAGACGGCGTCACCGCCCCCGGCCCGGCCCACGCGCTCGTCACTAGGGTGTGGGGAGGGTGGGCGCGGCGGCTGCAGAGCGAGGCAGAGAAGAACGGAACGCGGGGCCTCTGCCGGGAGCCCCAGGAAGAGAAGGGAGTGACGGCGACCGTGGCGCAGAGAGCCCAGGCCCTAGAGAACTGTGGCCGCCCACCCCGCCGCCCCCAGGCCCCAGGGGACACTCACCTAAAGGAATCAGGTTGTTGTGGCCCACGCTGGAGCCGCCGGCTATGACACTGCTCAGGTCGTAGGCGGTCGGCATCCCTGTGTGCAGAGCGGGCGAGGTCAGGGGTGGGGAGGCCGTGTCCCGCCACAGGAGCGCCCCGCCCCGCCCCCACCGGCCACTCACCAGCCACGGCCATCCCGCTGCTGAGGTTGTAGGTGCTGCCCGTGTTCCACATGTTCTCCGAGGGGGACGTGTAGTGGGAGCCGGGCGGGGGCGAGGGCGTCGTGCCTGTGTATCTGCAGCACAGACAGACCAGCGCGCAGGGCTGAGAGGCCGCAGCGCAGGGCGGGCCCCCCCTGTGTAGGCTCCGGGCCCATCCTACCTGAAGAAGGGATTTTTCAGATCCAGGAGGTTACTGGATTTGGAGCCCGTCTGGTCTACCTGGGCCACAATACTGATGTCATAGCTCTGTCTGCAGAGAGGACAGGGCAGGACGGCCATGAGCGGGCTGGGGAGACAGACCCCTGCCTGCCCCAGCCCCGGGCGGCAGCTCCCACCTCTTGTTGGCAATAAGCAGACATGTCCCTGAGAGCGTGTCCCCGGCCTTGGCGAACAGTGGTGACTGGAACAGGCAGCGGACCTGGTACCAGTGGGTCAGGGGCTCCGTCGGGGCCGTGGACAGCCATACTGTCATTCTGCCAAGCAAGGACAGGCACATGCGGGACCAGGCTGCAGCCTCCACCCTGTGCGCCTCGAGCTCTCCCCGGGTGTCTCCGATGGGTCCCCTGGGGCCCTAGAGCTGAGACGCTGGCTGGCGCAGCATCCCAGGCACACGCCTATGCACACACGTCCATGTGCACGCACACACCACAGCTAGGACGGGCCCACTCACCCTGACCTCTGCCGAGAGACGGAGACCAGGCCCCATGAAGGACAGTTACTGAGAACAAGACAGACGCCCCCCACCAACAACAGTCTCTGGCTCAGAGGGGAGCTCTCATTGCTTTTGCAGGAACAGGGAGCCTAGAGCAGTCCTGTCCTGTCCTGTCCTAGCCCCGAGCCCACCCTGGGGATCACAACTGCAGGGAAGTCGCTGGGACTGGGCCAGGGCGGCGCACGTAGCACGCCCTGCGCTCTTTGCACTCACATGGAGCCGATGAAGGCGACATCAAACCAGAAAGCCAGGCCGTGAACTAGCCCGGAATGCAGCATGTGGAATTTGAATGGGATTTCTATCCTGGAAGGCAAAGTGCAGTGATTGCTGGGGAAGCCGAACAGGGACGGCCAGGAGAGAACAGGGGTGGCTGGGTGCAGTGTCCCGGGGCCCCTGCCGGCCCGCCCTGGGGCAGAGAAGGCCTGAGGGATTCTGTGCCGGTCCTGGACCCTAGCAGGAGCCAGGCTTAGCAGCGGGGCATGGGTGCCAGTACCTGTGCAAATCTCCTTCTTTGGCTTCTAAGAAGTTCACTGTGTACTTGACAGACTTGGCCATCAGGATCCGGATGTCAAATGTGTCCTGGGAGAGACCACAGTGTGACTTGGCTTCAGGCACAGAGGCCAGCTGGGAAGGGGAGAGCTCTGCCCCTTCTCCCTGTCTGGCCACGGCTTTGAGGCCGTTCGGCTAAAACCATTCTCGGACATGCTGGGGGCAGGGGGGACGAAGTGTCTCGCCACCACAGAGGACAATGAGGCAACAGCCCTCAAAATAACCATTCACGTGCACTAGAGACTTGGCAGCTCCCCTTCTGGGAGTCTGACCTACACGTGTGTGTGGATGTGTCCAAGCTTGCACACACACAACTAGACGCGCTCTGGAAACTGCCTAATGACGCCACCAACGTCCCGTCCGTCAAGAGACTGAGCAAGAAGGGGGAGGTTGTTCGTGAACTGGTGGGGAGGGTCTCAAGACGGACTAAGTTAATAAGCAAACGGGGGAACTGTGCTGCCGTCCACACCCGCCAAGCTGGAGGCTTTAGGGCAGACGGATGCTCCTGTGAGCAACTACAGCAGCTGAATAAAATACTGTCGGGGGAGCCTAGTTTGCGAGTCAGGAAGAGCAACAGTGGCGGCCGCCGCTCTGGGAGCCAAGATCCTGGAGACACGCTTTTCCGCCTGTGCCTTTCCCCTTGGGGCAGGACCTTCTGGCGGCCTCCCGGGATGGGGACAGCAAAACGGGGGCTCAGGGTCACCAAGGCAGCTAGAATTCCAGGGCTCAAGAAACGAACAAAAGGGAAATGCAGAAACAGGAGGTGGGCGTTCTGCACGGGATCCCACTCCGCGGTGTGGGCCAATTCCCCAGCCGCACGGGCCGGGGGCTGAGGCGGAGAACTCACGCGGGAGCCACTCGGAAGACGCTGATAGACCCAAGGGGAGGTTCAGCCGTACACGAGTGCTGGACGAGGAGCCTCGTGAAGCAGCCACCAGGCTTGCACTGAGACCACTGACCACCGGGCCCTAAAGCAGCAGTTCCCCAAATGTGGTCCCTTCCAGAGCACTTGCAAGGTCAAAACTATTTTTCGTGATAATACTAAGATGTTTTCTGCCTTTTTCTTTGGTTCATTCACCAACTGAACACAGAAGTAGACTCCAACTGTCTTCTATTAAGCCAGACATTAAAGAGATTTGCAAATTAAAAATGCCAACTGTGGGGCTCCTGGGTGGCTCAGCTGGTTAAGCATCGGCCTTCGGCCCAGGTCATGATCCTTCGGTTCTTGGATCGAGCCCCACATTGGGCTCCCTGCTCAGTGGGGGACCTAATTCTCCCTCCCCTCCCCGCTCATGCTCTCTCTTGCTATCTCTGTCTATCTCTGTCAAATAAATAAAAATCTTAAAAGAGACACCCGGGTGGCTCAGTTGGTTAAGTAGCTGCCTTTGGCTCAGGTCATGATCCCAGGGTCCTGGGATGGAGACTCACATCAGGCTCCCTGCTCAGAGGGAAGCCTGCTCCTCTGTCTCCCTCTGCCTGCTGTTCTGCCTACTTGTGATCTC